TTTTGGAAGATATGGAGGAGATATTCGAGTTGGCCGGGGTCAGAGACGCCTTCCAGAAAACTTTAGAGACGGGCGACCCTCGTTATTTGCAGGCTGCCATGAAAGCCTCCGAATCTTTTCATTGTAAGCCCTTCATCGCACAGCATGTAGAGTTTAGTAATCTCCAGTTTACTCCTCTAGATGCTGCTTTGTCTCCTGCGTCCCCTTAACTGCTTTAGTTGTGTGGTTTGTAGAAGCCATGAGACAACTGCCTGGCATCAAAGCAAGCCCGCTTCAGGAGCCCGGAAAAGAACGGCGTAAGCCGGATCCAGCGGAGATGAGCAATATATACACCTCAGACTCCGCAGTAAAAGGTGAGCTGACCAATACTGCACAGTTTCTGCACTTCACTCAGAAATACCGGTTGTGCGCTCTGAGCCATACCTACATCCATGTAGTGTGTGCCATTTGCTATGCAGCCTTTGAAATACTTCAGTTAATTCGAGGCTACACTGCCCTGGAGGGCTGCAGGCCCCTAACACACAAGAATCTATACGGCACCGGTAGCGAGCTCGTCTGGCGAGTCATCGAGAATGCTATGTTTGAAGCTGTTGAGATACAAGGCGAAGACACATTGCACTCAGTCCTTGAAAACCAATGCAGATCTGCCGCGGCATTCGTCTTTCCGGGGACAGTCAGTCCCTCTCATCTTGTTATTCCACAGTGTGTGAACGTATGGGAGAGGATGAGAAGCGACTGGTCGCAGCTGGGTATGTTCGGGCCTGACCCCACAGGCACGCCATTCAGCTCGCAGTTGCAGTTGGTACGGCGCTTCGTCTCAGCTTTTCGACGAGGCCCAGCAGCCAAAAGCCTTCTGGCGGTTTTATTGTTTCACCAAAAACGAGAATACCATTTTTCGTGTCATTGTGCTCAGTTTTGTCCTCGGATATAGCGAACGACCGCGAGGCTCTTGCAAATGACTGCGTTTCGAAACAAGGCAAGCAACTCACAGCTACATCATGTAGCAGACAGCACCCTCTTATTTTCTTATATCTTTTCCAGGTGTTTATTTCACTATTTCCAGGTGCAATTTCCGCTTCTGTGCTTACGACAGGACAGTTGGCACCTGGATACTTGGGCGAATGCGACGCACGTTGCATGAGTGGTGTCGTGAAAAGAAACTTCTGGTTCGACTCGCGGCTTATAAAAAGAAAATCTATTGCAAAGGATTACGTCCTTGCAGGAGATGGTATTTATGCTGCACCTGGCAAATCGTGCAAGCACATTGACGGGGGAATTCTTTTCGTATATTCGTAGTCAACTGTTTTAGTTGTCGCACATGTTTTTCACGTTTTTCATATGCGGGTGGTCATATTTCCAGTTGCTCATTCGTATGTCTTCGTTTTGCAGTTGCTCGCTTGTCAAACTTTTCGGCTGCTGATGC